GTGTAGTCGCGGTCGTAACAATAGTACGTAAGTTGTAGTAGTAATAGTAGTAGAGTAGTTGTGTGTAATTAGTAGTACGTAATGGTAGTAGTCGAGTCGTTGTAGTAGTAGTAGTAGTAGTAGTAGTAGTAGTAGTAGCCGTAGTAGTCGTAGTAGTAGTCGTAGTAGTTTTACTATTACTAATCGTAGTGGTAGTAGTAGTAGTGGTAGTAGTAGCAGTAGGAATAGTAGTAGTAGTAGTAGTAGTAGTCGTAGTAGTCGTAGTAGTAATGGTAGTAGTAGTAGTAGTAGTAGTAGTAGTCGTAGTAGTAGTAGTAGCAGTAGCAGTAGTAGTAGTAGTAGTATTGATAGTAGTAGTGATACTGGTAGTACTAGTCGTACTAGTAGTAGCAGTAGTAGTCGTAGTAGTAGTAGTAATCGTAGTGGTAGTAGTAGTAGTAGTAGTAGTAGTAGTAGTAGTCGTCGAAGGATTAGCAGTAGTAGTAGTAGTAGTAGTAATATTAGTAGTAGTAGTAGTAGTAGTAGTAGTATTAGTGGTAGTAGTAGTACTAGTAGTAGTAGTAGTAGTAGTAGTAGTAGTAGTAGTAGTAGTAGTAGTAGTGTCAGTAGTCTTAGCATTCGTCGTGTTAGTAGTGTGCGTAGTGTTAGTAGTAGTGTTAGTAGTACTAGTAGCAATTGCCGTAGCACTTGTGATAGACTTAATATTAGTTGTCGTATTAGTAGCAGTCGTGGTAGTCTTCGTCGTCGTAGTGGTAGTAGTGGTAGTCGTAGTAGTAGTAGTAGTAGTAGTAGTAGTAGTAGTAGTCGTAGTAGTAGTAGTAGTCGTAGTAATAGTAGTAGTAGTACTGGTAGTAAAAGTACTAGTCGTAGTAAAAAAGTAGTAGTCTAGTAGTATTAGTCGCTAGTAGTAGTTTAAGCATTCGATTAGTACGTAGTAGTAGAAAAGTAGTATTAAGTAGTAGTAGTAGTAGTAGTAGTAGTATTAGTAGTGAGTAAGAAAAGTAGTAGTGTAGTTAGTAGAGTAGTATAAGTAGTAGTAGTAGTAGTAAGTAGTCCGAAGTCGTCGTGGTAGTATGTTAGCACTAGTAGTAGTAGTAGTAGTAGTAGTAGTAGTAGTAGTAGTAGTAGTAGTAGTCGTAGTAGTAGTAGTAGTAGTAGAAGTAGTAGTAGTAGCAGCCGTAGTCGTAGTAGTAGTAGTAGTTGTTGCTGTACTGGTTGTCGTAGTAGTAGCAACTGTAGTCGTAGCTGTCGTATTCTTAGTGGTTGTAGTAGCAGTAGTAGTAGTAGTAGTAGTAGTAGTAGTAGTAGTAGTAGTAGTAGTAGTCGTAGTAGTAGTAGTAGTAGTAGTAGTAGTAGTAGTAGTAGTAGTAGTAGTAGTAGTAGTAGTAGTAGTAGTAGTAGTAGTAGTAGTAGTAGTAGTAGTAGTAGTAGTAGTAGTAGTAGTAGTAGTAGTAGTAGTAGTAGTAGTAGTAGTAGTAGTAGTAGTATTAGTAGTAGTAGTAGTAGTAGTATTAGTAGTAGTAGTAGTAGTAGTAGTAGTAGAAGTAGAAAAAGGGTAAAGGGTGGGCGCAGAATTCAAGCGAAAGCGCGCGACGACGATGGGACGCCCCCTGCGCGCGCCGGGGGCAGGATGAGCGACTTCGAGTCGCAGGTGTCCAGCCAGCTCCAGGCCAGCAGGGGCGGGTGGAGCTCGGCCTCTCTCGCTCCGCGCCACCGCGCTAACACGGCGCCCCGGCAGCCTGAGGTCAGACTCTGCGGGGGCGTTGAGGAGGGGTGGCGGGCCGCCCAGATCTCTTGCACCACGGCCGACTCCAGATTGCAGGTTCTCTTCGCGTTGGCCTTCACATGCCCGCTTCGGGCCTTGCGGCCCTCGGGTCGCCAGTTTCGGGGGCCCCGCGCATGGAAAATACACCACGTCGGGCGTCCGGAGGGGGTGGGCCAAGGGCAGCTTACGTGGAGCCCGTGTGGGGTGGGAGGGGGCGCCCTTGCAATCGTTGCACTATTCGGCGCCTCGGCGGCCTCGGAAGACCTCGTTTAGCCTCAGGTGGGCTCACATAGCCTCGGATGACATCATATGGTCTCGGGTCACATTCGACTGCCTCAGATGGCTTCGGATGCAATCCAGAGCGAATGGCTTCGCATGCTCATGAAACCAGCGCGAACGGTTTGGCCAGGGGGACAGACAAGGTCCCCATGGATCCGACATGAGGCAGGGGGTGGGCAGGGCTCTAACGGATGGCTGCCGCCAGTCTCGAACTAGTCTTAGGGTCTGCCGCCATTACCATGTCAACGACGTGCTCGGTAGGACCTCTCTTTGGCGACTCGAGAGGCGCACCTCGGAGTTACAGGCTCGCAAACAAAAGTGCCTGTGCACTGCTGCCATCCTCGTCAGACTGCAGTCCCGATAGTGTTACCGAAAAGCGCCCAGCGATCCCCTGTCTCCTCGCTGTCCTCCTCTTCCTCCCTCCGCGTCCCGGCCCTCGCTCTGTCGAGCGCGCCCCCATCAGTGACTCGACGACCTCGTGTCACTATCCGCGGGGTGGCCACTCGCAGAACGGAAGGAAGGCGAGAGATGCCGTCCACGGCGAGGGGATCCAACCGACTTGCGAGCAGCCGCCCTGCGAGTAGCCGCGCGCCCTGGACTAGGCACGGGCAGCGGCCCGAAAATCGCTGTCCGCGCAGCCCCAGAGGCCCCCAGAGGCCCCCAGAGGCCCCCAGAGGCCCCCAGAGGCCCCCAGAGGCCACCAGAGGCCACTGGAGTCGGGGAAGAAGCAATGACACCAACATAAGCCTTCGGAGGTCCTCGCGGATTTTTCGGATCGGCGCCAGACCCCCTCCCTCGCGCGCGGAGGGCGCCAGGGCCCCAGCGCCGATCCGAGAAATCCGCGCGGACCTCCGAAGGCTTATGTTTATGTTACTGACTGTTCTCCTACGGAGAGCCTCCAGAGGCTCCTGCAGGCCCCTGGTCGGGTACAGCCAGGACCCCAGGTACGGGGACCCAGTTAGTAGTAGGGCCCCGGAGCCCCCGAAATTGGCCAGAGTCACTGAACCAGGTCTGCCGCAGCTGGTGTTTTTTCAGGTGACGGCAGTTCTGGCTCGTGGAACGGGGCGGGGGGGGCGCCCCCCCAACACACACCACTACACCAGGTCCCACTACACCCGGTTCTGCCAACGCCCGACCTGGCGCCCGAGCAGGGCCACGGAGGCGCCCGGAGCCGTCGACCCTCGGCCGCCAGGTTGCCTCGAAGTGCGCCCGCGCGGCGCCGATGCGGCGGGGCGCCGATGCGGGCGGCGCCGCTCTCCGCCCGCGCCCTGCCCCGGCGGCGGCTCGGCGCCGGGCGGCTGCCGGCGGGCTGCGGCTGTCGCGACGCGCCGGCGGGCGCCGTGCGGGGCGCCGCGGGCGCCCCGCCTGGCGCCGCTGGCCTCTTCGGCGCGTCTCTCGTCGTCGCCGCCGTCGATGTTCGTCGTCGTCGTCGTCGTCGTCGTCGTCGTCGTCGTCGTCGTCGTCGTTCGTCGTTCGTCGTTCGTCGTTTGTCGTTCGTCGTTCGTCGCGGTCGTCGTGGTCGTCGCGGTCGTCGTGGTCGTCGCGGTCGTCGCGGTCGTCGTGGTCGTCGTGGTCGTCGTGGTCGCCGTGGTCGTCGCGGTCGTCGTGGTCGTCGTGGTCGTGGTCGTTTTCGTCCAGGGCAGTTCCTGTCGCCCTCGCGGGTCCACGACGTCGCGAACCCCCGTTACGCCGCGAGCCGGCCCTCGTGGGTCTCTGACGCGGGCGGCCTGCTGGGAGAGGGGGACCGCGTGAAGCTGGAGGCGCTCTGCGAGGATGTCCAGGCCAGGTGGCACGCGGAGGTGGCCGTGGTTCTGCTTCGCTCCTTGCCGCCAGACGTGCAGCCCTCGGGGTTCGCCGCGGCCTTGCTGAACTACTGGGGTGTGGGGGACAAGACGCTGCACACTGGGCTCCTGGTCTTGCTGCTGCAGGAGCAGCGGCGCCTCGAGATGCGCGTCGGCTTCGGCGCAGGCCGCGTGCTGGGCCCCGAGCGGCTGAGGGGCATCCAGGAGGAGCACATGGTGCCCGTCCTGCGCTCAGGCGCGGCGGGCGAGGCCCTGTGCGCGGGGCTGCGCGCGGTGGTCGCGGCGCTCGAGGAGGGCGCGCCGCCGCGCTGGCGGCGTGGGGGGGGCGGGGAGGCCGCGGCCGAGGAGCCGAACAGGCACGGCTTCGGCGGTGGGCAGACGCCCGTGGACGAGTTCGTGCGGGGCGCGGGCGGCGACCCGCCGGGTGGCCCCGGGGCGGCCGCGTGAGCCTGCCGCGGGGGCGCCGCAGGCCGCTGGTGGCCGCGGGCGGCGGGAGGTGCCCGCCTCCTGCGCGCAGGGGCGGGGGGCCCTGCGGCTCATACGGCGGCAGCTCTCGGGCCCCGGGCGGTGCGGCGCCCCGGGTGCGCGTCGCGCGCGCGTCGGCCGTCCGCTCCGCGCGTCGGCCGCCAGGGCGCCCGCGCCGCCAGGCGGGGCAGAGCTGGCCCGGCGGCGGCGCGCGCGAAGGCGAGGGTGTCGTCCGCAGTGCGGTCGACTCGGCAGCGTCGCAGTCGGTTGCGCTCGCTCGGTTCGATTCGGTCGGTCGTTTCGCTGCGTCCTGCTAGGCTGCTTGTGGCCTGTCTGTTTCGTTCGGTCCCGGCTTGGTTGTCAGCTCTGTCGGTTTTCGGTTGTGCTGTCGTTCTGGGTGAGAGGCAGATTGCAGTCATCGTCTGCGTCTGCTACCACTTTTGAACCCCACTCCCGCGGGTCCAATCTCGCCGGGATATCAGCCCTCCCCGCATGGGCGTCCCCTCCCTCCCTCCCTCCCTCGCCCCCTTTCTCGCACCCCGCCTGCACGTCCCCGCGGGCCGTTGCGGGAGGTCATGTCGGCCGACATCGAGAAGAAGCTCGCGTACATCAACTCCCAAAAGGGCGGCGGCGGCGGCGGAGGCGGTGGGGGCGGGCTGCGCGCGCCCGACCGGTGCAGGCGCACAGTCAAGCAGCGGCATCGGTATGGAGTGTTCTTGCAGTAGCACTTGGCACCCCCGACTCTTCGGCTCATCTTCGGCGCCCAAGGGTCCTGCACGAGCGTCAACATAATGCACAGGTCCTGCATCCTTGCCTTGCCTCAATCTGAACTTCCCGTTCAGCCCCGGGTGTTGAATGGCTCGGAGAGCAGCTCCTCTCTCGCTTCCCCTCCCGTCCCCTCTTCTCCCTCCTTTACTCCTGCCACTTCTCCTGCCTCCGTCTCCTCGAGGAGGAGGAGGATGAACAGGAGGAGGAGGAGGAGGAGGAGGAGGAGGAGGAGGAGGAGGAGGAGGAGGAGGAGGAGAAGGAGAAGGAGAAGGAGAAGGAGAAGGATCAGCATCATGAGCAGGGGATGAGGGGGAGGCGGAGGAGGGAGGGAGGAGCAGAAAGGAGGAAGGAAAAAGAGGGAGGAGGGAGCAGGCGGAGGGGGGGCGGATGGAGGCGACGAGACGGGTGAATAGCGAGGAGGACAGGGACGAGGGATGGCCGCAGGTGGAAGTGGCCCAGGGGTAGACGGACTCGCGCACGACCTCGACTCAGTCAAGTACGACCTCGGTGAGCTGAAGGAGTCTGCCAGTCGTCACCTGCCGCGCAGGGGCCGGGCGTTGCGTAATGGGGGGGGGGGAGCGGTTCATGAGGGGGGTGAAGAAAGGAGCAGCGCCCAAAGGCTGCCGCGGTCGCCGTTGCGTGGAGTCGGGCGCTCCGCGTCGAGGTCTGCTCCGAGCACCCCCTGGGGGGCGCTGTGGCGAGGGAGGTCGCAGGTGTCTCGGGCCCCCCGGACAGGCCTTGGCGGCCTTCCTCGCCGCAGCCGGGGTGGCGTTCTTCCATCCAGCGGCGAGCGAGGGAGGGAAGTGAGAAGGGGCGGGCCTTCTCAGAAGGCTCTGACATCCCCAAGCCTTTGAGAAGTTTTCTCAGCCTTTCCCGAAGACACAGGAAACCTCTCAGAAGGCGCGAGGGCTTCGAGAAGTCCCGCCGCCTTCTGAGAAGGCCTTCACTTGCTTATTTCCCCCCCTCGCCCGCCGCCGATCTACTGTGCTCCGTCTCGCGTGCTGCGGTCTCTGCAGCAGCTCCTGCCCCTTGCCGAGTAATTAACCAGTCATGGGGGTTTTCCAGCGTCGTCGAGACCTGCCACCGCGCTCGGTCTGTGAGCGTGTCTTGGGCCCTGAATGGTGCTTGGGGGAAGGGGAGGGGGCAGTCGCTGTCGCGGCCGCGCGCGGCTCGAAAGACTCGCCGGGGCGCCTTCTGGTGGGGCCCAGAGGGTTGGCTTCGTGCGAATCCAGGCTGAATGGAGAACGTTTGTGTGTGTGTGTGTATATATATACATATATATATATATATATATATATATATATATATATATATATATCAGGACCCGATGCCGAGTATGCCAAGACCCGATGCCGCGCTGTGAGGGGGGGACGGTCATTGGGTGGGGACAAGGGAGGTCGAGGGAGGGGGCTTTGGGAAAGGGTTTTGAGTGGCGGAAATCTAGAGTTGTTGCTGTCATGCCTTGTGCAATTGCTTCTGAGGGTCTTGCTTCCTTGCTATGGGTATTGACTGTATGCGGTGTGCGTGAAGGACGACGGTGGCTAGATCGGTGATGGCGATGATGGCGAGAATGAGGTGGACCAGGAGCAAGGAGACGAGCGGGGAAGTGGGCCAGCCTGCGCTCCTGTCAACGGGGGAGTCTCGAGTTGCCTGAAGGAGATGTTCCCCTCAGCGAAGTCGCGGTGATGCCAGGACGAAGGCCGTCTCGGCTCGAGCCCGCCCCTGCTTAGGTTCGGCGCTCGGTCCCGGGCGATGGAGACTGCGGCGGCGCGGCGGCGCCGACAAGCGCTTGCTGCGGCCCAGCGCCGCCTCGATGCTGCCGCGGCCGGAGGCCGCTCCCTCGGGCTCACCAGCGCGGCAAACGCGAATGGCACAGCTGGCGCGACGGAGGCGTCGGCTCTCCGGGGCGCGTCTGCCGCCGTGAGCGCTGCCAGCGCCGCTGGCGATGGCTGCCCCGCCGCGGCCCACGCGCGCGCCCCTACCAGCGCCGCGGACGCAGCCGACGCCCTCGGGCGAGTCGGCGCCGTCCGTGCTCGGTGGCCCGCGCCCCGCGCCGCCTGCGCCGCCGACGCTCCCGACGCACCAAACGTCCGCGCAGTCGGTGCCAATGGTGCGCCCGACGCAGCCGCCGCTGCCGCCGCCAGTGCCTGCGCTGCTGCCGCCGCAAGGGCTGCGCAGGCTTCCCCCTGGACGACCGTTGCGGACCTAGCCCAGGCTGCTTGGCGCGCGGCAGACGCCGTCGCGAGCGCGCTCCCTGGACGCAGAGTGGACCCGCTTGAAGACAATCGCAAATCTGAGGTTTCGCCTGGCGACTGCTGCACATATGAAGGCGGCGTTTCGCCTGAAGACAGTCGCAAATCAACGGATATTCTGGAGTTCGTTTCTGACCAGGCGGCCGTTCGCTGCATCAGTCGCCAGGGAGACTTACAGACAAGCATGCGGTGGTCAGCAACAGCACGTCGCTCCTTCCTTCTCCCAGAGACAGGCAGACAGGCGGTCCTGCAGCTCCTCACTCTTATCAGTGTCCCAGGCACAGGGTCTTGGTGGAGGCCGAAGATGCCCCCGATGGCGCGCCCACTCCTGGCATCAGTATCGTGGCGACAGTTGGGGGCGCTGCAGAGGGCGCGCCCGCGTTCGGAGACCTTCCTGACAAACTTGAGAGTCAGGAGATCATATCGGAACGCGCAGCCTTCAGCTGCAGCAGTCCCTTGGGATAGCTACAGACTGAACAGGTGGTCGTCTGCCACAGCGCGTCGGTCCTTTCCCCACCTGAAGACAACCGAGCAGACGTTCCTACGGCTCCTCACTCCTATCAGCGTCCCGTGGGCACTCTCGCTGTAGAAGCTGAACGTGCGGCCGAAAGTGTACCCCCTCTTGGCAACAGTATCGTGGGGACAGTTGGGAGTGCTGCAGAGGGCGCGCCCGCGTTCGGATACCTTCCTCACAAAATAGATAGTCATGATATCATATCGGACCGTGCAGCCATCAGCTGCAGCAGTCCTTTGGGAGAGTTGCAGACTGAACAGGTTGTCGGTTTCCACAGCGCGCTGGTCCCTCCCTCTCTTCGAGATGCCAAGACAGTCTCCCCTGCAGCCTCTGCCCCTCACTCCTATCAGCATTCCTTGGGCAGTGTCGCTGTAGAGGCTGAAGATGCGGCCGAAATTGTGCCCCCTCCTGGCAGCAGTATCGCGGCGACAGTTGGGGGTGCTGCAGAGTGCGCGGCCGCGTTCGGGGACTATCCTCACAATATTGAGTTCGTATCGGAACGCGCAGCCTTCAGCTGCAACAGTCCTCTGGAGGAGCTACAGATCGAACGGGTGGTTGTCTGTCAGATTGGCTCGGTTCCCCCCTCCTGGAGATGCGCAGGTCAGCGTTCCTACACCTCCTCACTCCTGTCAGCGTCCCGGGGGGGGGGGGGGGGCCCACGGCCATGGTGGAGGCCGAGGATGCGCCCGATAGCGCGCCCACTCCTGGCAACAACATCGCTGCGACAGTTGGATGTGTTGCAGAGGGCGCGCCCGCGTTCGGAGGGTTTCCTGACCAATTTGAAAGTCAGGATATCATATCGGAGCGTGCAGCCTTCAGCTGCAGCAGCCCCCTGGGATAGCTACAGACTGAACAGGTGGTCGTCTGCCACAGCGCGTCGGTCTTCTCCCGCCTGACGACAGCCAAGCAGGCTTTCCTACAGTTCCTCACTCCTACCAGCGTCCCGTGGGCACTCTCGCTGTAGAAGCTGAATATGCGGCCGAAAGTGTGGCCCCTCCTGGCAACAGTATCGTGGGGACAGTTGGGAGTGCTGCAGAGGGCGCGCCCGCGTTCGGAGACCTCCCTCACAACATAGACAGTCAGGAAATCATATCGGACCGTGCAGCCATCAGCTGCAGCAGTCCTCTGGGGGAGTTACAGACTGAACAGGTTGTCGGTTTCCACAGCGCGCTGGCCCCTCCCTCTTTTCGAGATGCCAAGACAGTTTCCCCTGCAGCCCGTCATTCCTATCAGCGTCCTTTGGGCAGTGTCGTTGTAGTGGCCGAAGATGCGGCCGAAATTGTGCCCCTCCTGGCAGCAATCTCGCGGCGACAGTTGGGAGTGCTGCAGAGTGCGCGGCCGCGTTCGGGGACTATCTTCACAATATCGAGTTCGTATCGGAACGTGTGGCCTTCAGCTGCAGCAGTCCTATGGGAGAGCTACAGGCCGAACAGGTGGACGTCAGCCACAGCGTGTCGGTTTCCCCCTTCCTGGAGATACGCAAATCAGCGTTCCTACAACTCCTCACTCCTATCAGCGTCCCGGGGGCAGGGCCTTGGTGGAGGCCGAGGATGCGCCCGATAGCGCGCCCACTCCTGGCAACACCATCGCGGCAACAGTTGGGGGTGTTGCAGAGGGCGCGCCCGCGTTCGGAGGTTTTCCTGGCCAATTTGAAAGTCAGGATATCATATCGGAACGTGCAGCCCTCAGCTGCAGAAACCCCCTGGGATAGCTACAGACTGAACAGGTGGTCGTCTGCCACAGCGCGTCGGTCTTCTCCCGCCTGGAGACAACCAAGCATGCGTTCCTACAGCTCCTCACTCCTATCAGCGTCCCGTGGGCACTCTCGCTGTAGAAGCTGAATATGCGGCCGAACGTGTTCCCCCTCCTGGCGACAGTATCGTGGGGACAGTTGGGAGTGCTGCAGAGGGCGCGCCCGCGTTCGGATACCTCCCTCACAACATAAATAGTCAGGGACACATATCGGGCCGTGCAGCCATCAGCTGCAGCAGTCCTCTGGGAGAGTTACAGACTGAACAAGTTGTCGGTTTCCACAGCGCGCTGGCCCCTCCCTCTTCTCGAGATGCCAAGATAGTTTCCCCTGCAGCCCGCCACTCCAATCAGCGTCCCTTGGGCAGTGTCGTTGTAGAGGCCGAAGATGCGGCCGAAATTGTACCCCCTCCTGGCAGCAATCTCGCGGCGACAGTTGGGAGTGCTGCAGAGTGCGCGGCCGCGTTCGGGGACTATCCTCACAATATTGAGTTCGTATCGGAACGTGTAGCCTTCAGCTGCAGCAGTCCTATGGGGGAGCTACAGGCCGAACAGGTGGTCGTCAGCCACAGCGTGTCGGTTCCCCCCCCCTTCCTGGAGATACGCAAATCAGCGTTCCTACATCTCCTCACTCCTATCAGCGCCCCGGGGGCAGGGCCATGGTGGAGGCCGAGGATGCGCCCGATAGCGCGCCCACTCCTGGCAACAACATCGCGGCGACAGTTGGGGGCGCTTCAGAGGGCGCGCCCGCCATCGGATACCTTCCTCACAAAATAGATGATCAGGATATCATATCGGAACGCGCAGCCTTCAGCTGCAGCAGTCCCTTGGGATATCTACAGGCTGAAAAAAGGTGGTCGTTCGCAGCAGCGTGTCGGCCCCTTCCCCTCCTGGAGACAGGCAAGCAAGCGTTCCTACAGGACCTCGCTTCTATCGGCGTCCCTTGGGCAGCGTCGTTGTGGAGGCGGAAGGCGCGGCCGAAATGGCACCCCGTCCTGGCAAC